AGGAACGCCGCTCGTTACTGGTCTCCACTCAGACACTGAGCCATTGACCACCACTCTCTGAGTGTGACCATTCAGCCAGTTCCTTATCCATCGAGTGGTCCATCTGTCAAATCCATGTCTCTCCAGTTTAGAGACAAGGATTTTTCTTGTTTTTACCTTTTCCCAATGATCTGCGCATAGGTCTTCACTAGGTAGTCTGATATATTACGGCCTGTCAGATTCTGGAGGATATCAGCAGTGTCTTGCTCACGCTGGCATCACCAGGGAAAACACAGAAAAACACCCATCATGAAATGCAAGCGACAAGTCAAACAAACTGCTTGCAGCACAGCATGCAAGAATCACATCCAGCCGCTCCGCTCTCCAAGAGAATCCCTCAAGGCAGTACCACGGAGCTCCCTCCTACCTGTGGGGGTGGCAGCCCGCCTGCACCAGGGGGGCACACAGGCAGCATCTTCTTGATCTTCTCATTGCTGCACTCGCAAGATGGGGAAGGGTCTTCCATGCTCCAGTTGCCTTTCAGGAAAATGTCCCGGACTGAGTCTGGGACTGAAGCGGTGGTCCATTCCCTCTGCCCCACAGTGCAAGGAGTATCTCTGTGTCAGGAAACAGGCAAGGCAAATGCAGTTTTTAAAACTGGCCTTTGCTTACAAGCCACTTAAATAACAGTCACACAGCCCCCAGAAGAGGCAGGCTGTTTTTCAAAGGAGCCTGACCCCACCGAGACAAATGGTTAGAGAAACAGACCAGGCTCTGCAGCTTAACAAATCCCAGGGCCAGAATGACAGAGGTTAGCCAACACTCAATAGCCCTGCACACTCTCGTCTTCTCATGCGCTCCGCAGCATGTGAGTGCTTTATTTCAGTCCGTCCCAGAACGCAAGGCGTCCAGAGTTCAAGAAGCGCCTGGACAATGCTCTTAGTCATATGGTTTAGTTTTAAGTAGTCCTGCAAGGAGCAGGGAGTTGGACTCAAGCATCCTTATAGGTCTCTTCCAACTCAAGATAATCTACGATTCTAAGATCACAGGAGACCGGCATTTCTTGGATGACATTTCTGCCTCTGGAGTACCAGAACACTGCTCATACCCAAGGCAGCACCAGTGGGCAGCCTCCCTGCTGTGCCCCATGGGTGGAATAACTCTGCTCCTGTGTCTTTTTGCACAATACAGCTTACTTTCCACCACTGGCCAGCACATACAGCCCCTTGGCCAGCTCCCCCTCATCCTGTGAACATGAGCTGCAGTTCTTCCAGGCTAGAGACACACCTCATCTCAGACTCTGTATACCACTTCTGCGCCCAAGGCCTGGATCTTCAGCGATCTGCCCAAGGCCATGCAGCAAATCAGTGTCAGAACCAGGAAACAGCAATGCTGTCTGGCTCTCCACTTTTCCTGCTGGTGTTTGTGAGGACCTTTGTAAATGGTCCTGACCAGAAATCTGAATGCAATTTCAACTCTTCTGGCTTAAATCCTGCTCTGGCCAAGCATGATTATAATTCCCTAAAGCCAGCTATACCTACTGGGTGACTAGAAGCTGAGGCAGGGCTTCTTCTTCCCAGCCTGGAGTTCTACTTACGGGATGGAGTGTCCCTGCATACAGCGTGTCCCAAAACCAGGCTTACTGAGAAGGGCGTCCAAAAGCCTCTGCATGCCTGCATCTTCTGGAGCATCATTGCTATGGGTACAGCAGAGAAACACTATCAGGTCAGTAGGATAACAGGCACACAACAAAAGCAGCAGCAGAGCAAGGCTGAGAGCACTGTGAAAGCTCAGGAAAAGGATACGCGTGGAGATTTCCTTTTTAAGAATGCTTGGCATAAGAACACAAACACACTCCTGGTCTTTATGAATATTATTACTAGAGTCACAGCACCATTCAGAAATGGATATGGCCTTGCCAATAGTTACAGCTGGCATTTAGAAGTCCAAAAATAAAACACCATGACTCTTAAAATGTGCTTCTGAGCTAAGTAATGAAAACAAATCTAAACCTGGTAAGAAACTAGAGAAGAACAGAATTGTAGGATTTAGCACCATTTCTAGGTCACAAGAAACATACCTAATAAAAGTGTACTGCTCATCATACATCCAGGGCTGTAATTCCAGGCTGGGATACTTCCCAAAGGGAGGGACGATCAGGCTGAACATGAGAGCAATACACACAAAGACAGCTGGCAGCACAATCTGAAATTGCAAGGAAAGAGCAAGCCCTTTTTAAATCAGATCTTCTCAGACCTGCTCTTCCAAGAGCTACATGTCAGCCACTTAATGGATCAACGCTTTTTCAAAGTTTCCCAGGAAGGTCTTTATTATTTACACCATTAACCGATACAAGACCTATCCTGGCATTCAGTCAGAGTGCTCACTTAGGATGCAGAGGATTAAGCCTCCAAATGTTGCTCTCAGGGCAAAATTTGGATTTGAACTTCAGTTGCATCTTTGTTGTGCAAGAATACTGTAACCACTTGGTTATCATGTGACTACTTTCACTTGCATAGGCTCCATTTTGCTCAGACGTGCCATGAAGTCCAGTTTTGTTTATCCATATTCCCTTGAGGTTTTCTGCCCACCTTCAGCTCTGAATACAATGCATGGTCCAGAGCTGTCCCTCCTGGGGGCCCCTGTCGATGCTGGGTGCTCTCACCTGAGCAAAGAAGCCCTTCCGGCTTCTCTTGGCAATAAGCAGCCTCTTCCACAACAGCGCCATGAACTGCTGCTGGGTCAGCTTCCAGCCCTTCATTTGGTAGGAGCCCTTCCCATCCATGCCACTGAGAAGGTCTGTCTCTCTGGATTCTGCTAGCAAGAAGAAATGACTCTCATCGAAAATCTCACAGAGGTGTTCTGTGGGCAACTCTGTGCTGAAGATACAGGGTGACGTCTGGAGCAGTTACTCTCACCCATTAAAGCCAAACAAAGCGCAGTGAGCAGAGATAGCAACACATGAATGCATTTTCACCCTTATCTCTCTGAGCCTTGATGGGAGGATTGAGCAGGCTGGGGACCCTGCACTGCCCACTATCCCTAAAGGCAAATAAACCACCACTCTTTTGGCAGTCTCAGCCTTAAAATCTGTAGTATTTATCCTATGAGAAAGCATCCACAAGAAGAAAACAGGCTTGTGCACCAGCAATACCTGGATCTATGTCTGAATCATTAGGATCAAATGCGTCATCTTCCGTAAATGGACGAAGGCAGCTCTGTCTGTCCCCAAACACGCGCCTGTTCCTTCTGGCTGGCAATGTCCCATCTGAAAATAATGCAGTTATGATTAGTTGAAGTGCTTCAGTTAATCTCCAATTAGTCCCAGAAAAAACAAGGCAGTATCATTTTCACTTAACATTTGCAAACAGAGGAGCAGATCTGGAGTGACTCCAGTGCAGATAAAAGTAAAGCCAAGACTGTCACTCTGCAAGGGTCACATGTTTTAGACACCATTTTTTGTGTGCTGTCCTAGAAGCTTCTTTCAGTGCACTGGACTTTTCTTTTTTTTTTAACCATGGAAAATGCAGGCTGTTCACCTAAGACAATTCTCAATATGCACATGACCCCAAGTGCAACTTGCTAGCTCTAATTTATCAGGGAATGCTGGCATGAGCACTTAGTGCAGCAAGCTGCTCTCAGAGAGAAAGTAATTTGGTCCTTACTGCATGTGACCCTGTCAAGAGTTTTTCGTGTTAGTCAGAGTACAGAACAGTGTCAGTCAAGTAATTCACAACACGCTCAAACACTAGAAACTCCCTCTATTACAAAATAAGCATGCTACCATTCAGCCAATAGACATTAACAGTATATGAAAGCATACATTAATTATACTAAGAAGAGCTATTTTAGGTCATTAAAACTATTACTACAGCAGAGAGACAACTATACGCACCCGAGGTTTCCGCGTCTACACCACTATCATCAGCCACTTTCAGAAAGATCTGAAAAGCAATGACAGGTATCAATGAAAATTAGAAGGGGAGCAATATAATATTGTGGTGACTACTTCAGGAGGTGCCATGAGAGACACAAGACTGACAGACGCAGCACAAGAACAGAGGATTCACGATTTATCCCATTGTGTGATGAGTACATGGACTTCGTGGCTTCTATTTTCAAACTGCAGGTAGCAGCCAAGGCCTTCACAGCTCTGCGAAGATCTAGAGGGCAACCTCAGTAAGTGACAATATTATCATTTCAGTTTCCCTCATCATTATGTAGGAAGAAAAAAAAAAGACATTTCACATAAAGAGGGGATAAAATGCACAACACTTTTGTGATAAAAGAAAGTGAGACTTCTCAGCTGGAATACAGCCACAAGGAACAAACCCTGAAAACATACCTGACAAGGGCATCTGTCTAAGCGGATTCTGTAAAGTACAATCTCCAGTACCGAAACATACGTTTTCAGTTAACTGCAGCACAAAGCATCCCTAAACACACCTGAAAAGTGTTTACAGTCACTAGAAGACAAGCTGTGAGCCAACCTTGACATGGCACCTCAGCAAAATGCAACTGAGTACAAAGAACCTGTCTATGCTTGCCTGTACCCCATTTCAGTTTTTAATGCATCCTTCTATGAGCACAGACTTAAACCGGGCAGAAAGCAATCCATTTTGAGGAAGAACACAGTAAACATTTGGGTTGGGGCAATCCCAAGCACAAGTACAGGCTGGGTGGAGAATGGATAGAAAGCAGCCCTGAGGAGAAGGACTTGGGGGTACTGGTAGATGAAAAGCTGAACATGAGCCAGCAGTGTGCGCTGGCAGTCCAGAAAGCCAACCGTATCCTGGGCTGTATCCAGAGAAGCGTGGCCAGCAGGTCGAGGGAGGGGATTCTCCCCATCTACTCTGCTCTTGTGAGACTTCACCTGGAGTACTGCATCCAGCTCCGGAACCCACAACATCAGAAGAACACAGACCAGTTG